ATTGGTATGTTTACGTGAGTCTAATCTTGAGGACAGCTCCAATGTTCTACGCTTGCTCAGGTCAATCTACGCAATCGGCCGAGGTGTCGCAAAGCATCCAACATCATCTTGATGTTTTTTTTTTCTTCATATATCTACCTTCTTTTATCCGAGGTGGACCTGGCAAGAACTGCTACAAACCAAGTACAACTACAACAGAGTTGGCACTGTTCATTCAGCACATTCCCATTTCTCTTTCTTGCTTGATTCCCTGCTAGATGGACCTGGCAGGAATGATTCCTCATTGGGTGGTGGAACTGTTGGTGTAATCAAAGTCGCCGTTTCCTTGTACATTTATTTGATCCCTGTTGATCCTCCTCCCCGCTTTTTCTTTGGGATGAAGCCGAGAGGCACCTTTGCCTGTCCAACGATTTGTGAGCCCTTGTAACACAACTCCTCAGAGTTTTCTTCACGCTACTGTTAGAATCTCCCCTGTCAGAGAGTCCAGACTCTCTAGAGGGGGCTCTGTTCCCTTCATCGGCACTGTCCGTGTCATTAAACTCCTCCCACCACCTGAACCTTTTGCTTTTGTTTTCATCGCAGTCGTGGTCGTCCTCTTTTGACCTTTTCCGTGATGACGCCGGTAGCTGGTCATCACTGTCAAGAACCACTTCTGAACCCAGATTATGTACTGAACTTTGCTGAGGAATGGCATCTGTGCCATTTTGGTCAGAGTCTTTTCTTGTCTTAGCAGATTGTTCAAGGACATCACTATCACTGTCTGTGTCACTCTCTGACCTCCTCAACTGCTGGTTGTGACCCTTATCAGCTTTCTTCTTCTCTTCTCTAGACATCTTCCAAGATGGACCAGGTTTAGGTTCTTCTTCAGCGAGTGTTACATCAGAGTCAGTGAGGCTCTTGTCCCTGTCAATCACGGTATCACTGTGACTGTTAAAGTCGCTATCCGAGTCACTTCCGTCGTCTGTGCTGCTGTCACTGTCCATGTCAGTGTCACTACTGCTCTCCGTGTTACTTATAACTTCCTCGTCCAAGGAACTCTCTGAATCGCTGTCAATGTCCACAACATCCTCGCTCTCAGAGTCGCTGTCCAGGGCCGAGTCACTGTCCTCTGAATATTCTCTCCACCAGTTTTCCTCGTCGCTCTCCCCCTCATCAAAGTTCACTGACCTTACACTGGGTCCTTCGCCGTTGTCTCCGGACTCCCTTTCGTCTGCAGTATCATTGACAAGGTTGACATCGTCATCAACAAAGTCCTCAGGGACATTGTAGTAGTCGTCGTCAACCTCTGACAACTCTTCATTCAGGTCTGGGCCTTGGAGATGTAAAATGTTGAAACCTTCATAGTTTCTACCGTGTTGTAAGTGGTACATCAGCTGAACATATTCAGACTCTTCTATTCCCATCTGCCACGCAAAATTCAACCACTCCATGTCCACGTTGCTGAGCTGAGTGGCAGTTGGCACATCTCCATGAGAGAAAAGTTGAAAGGTCGGACCTGGGAACATTTTTTAGACTATTAAGATGGAATTCAACAGAAGATGTTCTTCTTAAACAATTCTTAAACAAAAAGATATATAAACTTACGGTTTCTGCCAAGGTGGACTCCATCCCCACAAGCATACATTTTCACTGCAAACAAAACAAAAAAACAAGATTAAAGAACAAAACCTTGATATGGAATGTACAAGAATAGATTTTGGAGGAAGAACACTAAAGCTAACAGTCTCACCTTTCAACTTTGATAGTCTTTAAAGCATCAGCTCAGAAAACAATGTGTTCAGGCAGACAATGTTTTCAGAAACCTTTCACCAGCTGCAGGACTGATCTGGACTAACTTAGAAAAAGAAGTGGTTTCATCATGGTCTCTCTGAATGACTGCAAATATTAACCAAGGGACTCGTGTTTTTACTGTTGTATACGAGAAACAACATGTGGCCCCAAAGTGACTTTCTTGTCCTTTGATGTGGTGACATGGTTGTGATGTCAGGTTTTTGTGTCTTGGTTCCAGAATTAGTCTAGATCACCAACAGCCAAAATCTAATCCGAGCTCTGTTTTTGTTCAAACAACAATTAATGGAACGACAGCTGTTCTGCTTAATTTCTAAAGGAATTAACAGGATACTCCATGTTCTATATGTTTATCAGATGTGATCTGATGTCTGTTTTTCCTCCAAATTTAAACCACAATTAAAGATTTTAAAACAATGTATTCTTGGTGGAAAAAGCACCAAATCATCAAAGATGTAAAAGGACAAGGTTTTTTCCCCCAATATAATTAAAAGCATACATTAAGTATTTTTATTTGGTCGTATTTTCATAGTTGAATCACATTAATGCAAAAGTTTGATTTAAAACTCAAGAGAAATGTGCTCTGTAAAATCTGTCTGTGGTAAATACCGAGGACTGTAATTAAAAAGGTTTAAAAACAATAACAGTTAACATGAAGTGTTAATGTTAAAGAAAAGTAATTTTGCATTATTGTTCCTAAAACTGAACGTGGAGTTAACACTGAAAATCTGGGGACTTGTCCAAGACTTGAGTGATGAGGACAACGTCCCTAACTGGAATTGCCACTTGAAATCCACTTTACAAATGTGGACGTACCAGTGACGACCCAGGTCTAACTGAGACCACTTCCTGGATGGCTTTCAGGACATAGCTGACTCAAGGGTCAAGGGTTTGACTCGTCCGAATCCTTGCTGTCCAACTGGTCAAATCTGAATCGTTTGCTGCTGCCTTTGTCAGACTCCTCTACTGACCTTTTCTGGGATGGACTGGGAAGGAGGTTTTCCACTGTAACTAGGGAATCCACATCCACACAGTTTGGGTCACTGGGACGGATTGACTTTTTGTAACTGTGTTTGACAGGTGTCTCCTCGTTAGAGGATTTCCAGGACGGCCTTAATAAGAATTCATTTCTAATTTCAACACTGGTACCTGTAGTTTTGACTGCGTTTTGACCACAGTCTGCATTACTGGTGTCAGTACACTCTCTAGTGTTGATGGTGTCTGTGTTACTGTTGTCACACTCATCCCACCACCTTACTCGTTTGCTGCAACCCTTAGTTGCAGAGTCCTCCTTAAGTGTCCTCTTCCTTGATGAAAGTGGGGGTGGTCTTTCCCCAGTAGATCCTGCACCAGTGTCAACACTCGCTCTGCAGGCTTTGGTCGCACTCCTTGAATTTTTGTAGCCGAAGGCATTTTTGATTTTCTTAGCCTTTAGTCCAGGTGGTTTACCTGACACATCTGGTGGTGGCTCAACCTCAGGAACCTCTGGATTTCTGACTGGACTGTTGTGTTTCAGATTATCCCTTCTTTTATTGGCAGTATCTGGATTAGGGAGGTTTTCTGTGTCTTCATAAATGGTACCATCTGTGTCACTGCCACTGTCTGTGTCAAACTCATCCCACCACCGGAATTGTTCATGGTCCAGTTCATCCTCCACACTTGACCACACCAAGAATCCTTCACTGTCATCTTTTACACGGTGACAAATTCCGACTTGACCACAACGCCCCGTGTCTTCTACAGAGCTCTTGGAGTTGTGGCCTTCATCATCATAGTCTTTATAGTGACTCGACAGGCCATCACGTGACAAGGTGCACGCTTCATCATTTTCAGCATGTTGCAAGTGGCACATTAGGCGTCGGTAATCGGATTGTTCAATTTCCAGATGACACCTGAATAAATCACGAACCAACCAATCCACGTCTCCGTTACTAAGATGAGTGGATGACAACATCCTACTGTTTCCTACTGTAGAAGGGGGGTCTGTGAAGCAACCAAGCAAAGAGTCACCGATGTGTGCATAGAATTAAACAGCAGTTTTTAATGATGGTGGAACAAGGACTTACGGTTTCTGCTGAGGTGCAGACCATCACCATGAGAATCCATTTTCACTGCTAATAAGAGAGAAAGTGATAAAGTTACATCAAGCACAGAATGAATTTTTACCACAATTATTACAACATACAAAACATTCTTTAAAAGCATTATTATTTTATAAAAAATTAAAGCACACTGACACAGATGAGAAAATTAAAAGTTTCTTTTAAAATTTCATTTTAAAATTTTAAAATGTTTACTTTTAATGAAAGGGGAATTTCTTGTAAGACTGATAATAATTAACAACAGGTTACGTAAATCAATACAAAATATAATATTAAAGAATATTCTCTTCAGTCTGTAGACTTACCAGGTTAATGTTGATCGGGGGGGTTGAAGGTCTGCGATAAAATGTTTGGTGTTTTTGGTTCTACAGAAATTTCACAATCTTCTGGTTTGGCCTCAGAAATTGAAGAAAGTGACCTACTGAGCCTTAGCTCCAAAGTCTATAATCTGTCCTTTGATTTGATGTCATGTAGTGATGACATTTTCTGTGTAATGACCTGCTGTGATATCATAAATGTGAAGTTCTAATCCCTACAAAGTCATGACTAACGTGTTCCGACACAGCCCAAACGCTGCAAACCTGGACACACCATCTAGTGGTAACAACACAAAGTTCTGTTTAAAAAACAAAACAAAACAAAAAAAAACAACAAAAAACAGTGTGAGCAGAGTCATGGGTCTGCTTCTCCCAAAACCAGATCACATTTTTATGAGACTGGAACCCTGTGACTGAGAAGCCATAACTTTAGAAGGCCCATTTTCAATTTCACAATAACTTCTGCTTAAGTGACAAAGTCAGTGAAATTTCACAATAACTTCTGCTTAAGTGAAAGTGACATATTGTCATTGTGAGACAGCACACCACTGCATGTGAGCTCTGCCTTTAACCCTTAGAGCAGGGGGCAGCTCAAGCTGAGCCCCCAGGGAGCAGTGTTACCAAAAAATAAAGTCTTTCTATGTGCCATAGATTAGATTTAGAAGTGGACCTCATATATCTAACAGGGAATTATATAAATTAGCATACGAGGTCTAGTTCTATCAACAAGCAATATTACAGGAGCTAAGATAGAGGCTTCACATTGCTAAATGTCACAGACTGGGCCCTCACAAAACACCCCACAATTTGAAAAACTCAACAGTAAGAAAAACATTTTTAATCTCAACTTCTTCAGAACAATGCTGGTTTAGCCCATGTGACTTATTAGTCACATGGGCTAAACTGACTTATTAGTCAGTTATTGGTTGAACTATATAGTAAAACTAATCTTTACTACATAGTTCTATATACGTGTTTTTTGTTTGAGTGAAACAGCAAAACGTCGACTGCATCTTTGATTAGGTGAATGTCAGACAGACGTGGGAACTTGATCTTTCTAGACATTCAGTAAACGGTTCATATGTGAAAACCTGCCTTGGACTTATGACATACAGTATATGCACAAAGTAGCAAGAATATTAAGTATGAGGAACTCCCTTTCTTTATTATTACTCCTCTGACATTCATTAGAAGTTCCATCAAGGTTTCAAACACCTTAGGTCTCCATTGCCCGGATCAAGATGTTCTTTTGGTCTTTAGGTCCAATTTAAGTCCATAAGTGCTCTGTGCTTTTTCAACTCTGCCCCCTCTGGCAGCTAGTTGTTTTTCGTTGTCTGGACGCACGGTCTTCTGCAGTTCTTGGACAGCAGCACGCAGGAGCGAGATGGTCTCTGTTTTGGTGTGGACTTGATCCTGCAGGTCTCTAACAGCTCGTTTCAGATGATTCATCTCCCTATTGTTGTTTTGAAGACCAATGTTTTTCTCCACAAGATCACGGTGGAGTTTGGACAACTTGTCCATGTCCTTCTGTAAATTCTCAATTGTCTGAATGAGTTCTTCGATCCTCATTTGCAAGAGCTCGTTTTTTTCAACCAGTGCTTCGCCAAGAACCTTCTCTTTGTGGAGGAGTTTCTCTGTTCTAACTATCTCCTGCGTGAGAGCTCTCATTGATAGATCGTCCTTTCTAATAGTGTCCTTTAGTTCCTCATTCTCGTATTTTAGTTCATTTATCTGCATTTCCCCCTTTTCCTTCATCTTCACGTATGCCTTACGGACTTTGGTCGCCCTGTGGTTCCATTTGTCCACTTCTTCTTTTAGCTCATCAATCCTGTCGTTTAGTATCTCGTTTTCTTCCAAAGCAGCTATGTGCTGTTCGCGCGTTTCGGCTAACTCCAGTTTAAGTTTTTCTTCCATGTCTGAGAAGGTGTCTCTTCAGGTAGCTCTGTTCCACTGAAGGCCTTAATCAGACCTAGCAACCCTGGCATCCCTTCTCAAAGAAACGTGAAAACAATGTTTCACAGATAATGACAAAGATCAAAGGTTCGAGATGAAAGAAACAGGTGATGTCACCTGTCAATCATCAGAAACATTTGTCATATCTCTTCTCGGGTTCTAACTCTTTTTCCTTCAGCATGAGTTTCCTCCTGATGCACCTCATCATGATCTTCTTTTATTCTCTCTGCTCACTGATGTTCAGCCTTGTTTGGAGTCATATTCTCAGACAGCTTAACAGAACAACTGTACCGCAGGGATCTGCAAACCCTTGGAGGTCTCT